AGGATAGCCAACGACGATAGGGCTTCTCGAGAGGAGGTCCAATTCGGACGGGTGCTAGCACTAATGGGGCACAGAGACCGACACCATACCGTCGCCCAGCCAGACAGGTGGACAACGACTTTTGACAGCCCGAGGAGAGGGAGACACTCAGACTAGAGCCGGTATTACCCCCCCGATCCTGCTTTTCATGCGGAGGTGTGGGGCATATTCGGATGCATTGCCCAGTTTTTTCACCTCAGGGGCCTATCCAGACCGCCAGATAGGTACCAGCAGCCCAACCACCACCACCGAGGCCTGCACCGCAATGACCGATACAAGCTCAAGCCCCCGGCGGCGCCAACCAAGGGCGAGTATTTGTTTTGACTCAGCCGGGGGAGGACATTGCCAATGCCGGTGTGGAAAGTATCGTCCTTATTTACAATTCTTGGGCCCGAATATTATTTGACCCCGGTGCAACACACTCATTTGTACGCACGACATATGCACTTGATTTAGGATTGAGTTTCACGAAGTTAGAGCATGTTATGAACATTAGTTTGACCACCGGAGAACGATTAGATACTAACCGAGTTTGCAAGGGTTGCGTGCTTCGCATTGGGGAGCACGAATTGATTGTGAATTTGATTACTTTAGAGATAAAGGGGTATGATGTGATTTTTAGGATGAACTTGTTGTCCGCTTTTCGGGCGGTAATGGATTGTTTCCGCAAGCGGATTATATTTCAGTTACCGGGAGGAGTTATTTTCAGTTTTGTGAATAACCGAGATTCTTTCCATCCATTTCCTACTACGGGTAGTAGATTCTTAAAAGCAAAATTGGGAAGTCATTTGAGTTTCTTAGCTAGCTTGATGGGAGATGATAGAGATAAAATCCATACGGATGTAGTGTTAATTGTATTGGAGTTTCTGGATGTTATTCCCGAGGAATTATCTGGATTACCGCCACATAGGGAAATTGAGTTCAACATCGATCTCTATCCGGGAATCGAACCCATATTCATTGCTCCCTACTGAATGGCACCTTTGGAGTTGAAGGAGCTAAGGAAGCAGTTGGATCACTTGTTGGCGATTGAGTTTATCCGTCTAAGCACTTCACATTGGGGAGCCCCGATCCTCTTTGTGAAGAAAACGGATGAGACTCTATACTTGTGCACGGATTACCAGAGGTTGAATCGGGTTACCGTGAAGAATAAGTATCCGTTGTCGAGAATTGATGACTTATTTGACTAGTTGAAGGGTTCGAAGTATTACTCAAAGATTGATCTTCTCATAGGGTATCATCAGCTATGGATTAAGGAAGAGGATATTCCTAAAACTGCTTTCTATACCCGGTATGGTCATTTCGAGTATACAGTGATGCCATTCGGATTGACTAATGCCCCCGCAGCCTTCATGGATTTGATGCACAGAGTCTTCCGGCCTTACCTCGATCAATTTGTCATTGTGTTTATTGATGACATATTAATTTACTCACAGACTCAAGAGGAACATGCTTGTCATCTCTCTATTGTGCTACAAATATTGAGAGAACATAAGTTATATGCGAAGATAAGCAAGTGTGAGTTTTGGATGAAGGAAGTGAAGTTCCTTGGCCATGTTGTGTCCGAGCAAGGAGTAGCGGTTGATCCCGTAAAGATTGAGGCCGTGATGAAATGAGAACCACCAAAGAATGTAACGGAAGTACAAAGTTTCTTGGGATTAGTCGGTTATTTTTGTGGGTTTGTGGAAGGGTTCTCCAAGCTTATGATGCCGATGACTTGCCTTACAAAGAAGGGGGAGAAATTTTTGTGGACTCAAGCGTGTAAACTAGCTTTTTACACCTTGAAGGAGAAGTTGACGACGACACCTATCTTTATTATTCCGAGTAGTGGAGAAGGCTACGATGTCTACACCGATGTTTCACTACGAGGCTTGAGATGCATTCTAATGCAAGGAGGGAAGGGAGTGGCGTATGGCTCGAGGCAACTCAAGGTGTATGAGCAGAATTATCCCACACACGACTTGGAGTTGGCTGCGGTGGTGTTTGCTCTTAAGTTGTGGAGATATTATTTATAANAGAGGGTGATACAGATTGTGGAGGATATGTTACGCGCTTGCGCGTTGGACTTCAAGGGGAGTTGGAGCAATCACTTACCGTTGGTGGAGTTTGCTTACAACAACAGCTATCAAGAAAGTATTAGGATGACACCGTATGAAGCATTGTATGGAAGACCATGCCGATCACCGACGTGTTTGTTAGAAGTCGGTGAGAGTAGTTTANCAATGTAGTTGCCGACGCTCTTAGCAGGAAGTCTCAGGGTGAAATCAATTTTTTTGCCGTAAATAGGTGGAAAATGATTAATGCATTGGAGGAGTACGATCTATGGGTGATGGACCAGNGTCCTAGAACTTGTATTAAATAGGTTTGGTGTAGAAATATGTGTTGGAGAGGTTTGAGATAGATTTGGTTGGCTTAGGAATGGATTGGAAATGGAAAAGAGACGAAGACGGGTTGTGAACAGTGCATGTGAACAGTGCATNTGCGGACCACAAACGAAGACCCTTAGAATTCAAGGTGGGAGACTACGTATTTCTCAATGTGTCACCCAAGAAAGGCATGTTTTGATTCGGCAAGAAGGGGAAGTTAGCGCCAAGATATACCGGACCGTTTGAGATAATCAAAGTGGTAGGTAAGGCGACATATCAACTTCG